GCTTGTGAGGTTTACAAAACTATGTGGCTGGCTGAGAACTTTTTATTCACTACACATTGACAGAAGCCTATGCCATCCTGTGAGGACTGGATGAGGAGGACCTAGAGAGAGAAATGTCTGAGAGAGACTTGGTTGGTGGTAAAATATTCCAGACCTCAACAGGAAAATATTTTCTCAGGCATATGTCACAGTCCTGAAAAGAATGAGGAGCAACATCACCCCACTGTGGCATAAAGGATGAAAGGCACCTTTATGATTTAAGCTTCAGAGGGGAGAGCAATGTTAGCCTAGCCCAGCAATAAGGAACAAATTCAATTAATTTCTTTACCACGCAGGCCATGGCAAATTGTATAATAAAAAGAACATAATACAATGCAGTATAAGAAAGATTTGGATAACCCAGATGATGTAGTTGCTGACCTTGAGCCAGACATCCTGGAGAGTGAAGTCGAGTGGGCCTTAGAAAGCCTGGCGCAACCAACATGAATTTGACACAACTCCAGGAGGCAGTGGAAGATAGGAGGGCCTGGCGTGCTCTGGTCCATGGGGTCACGAAGAGTTGGACACGACTAAACTACTAAATAAAACAAAAAACAATAAGAAAATGTAAACTAATTTCTGTTCAGATGTAAACATTTTAAGATCTAAAATGTATCATACAGAGGACTTGCCTAGCCTGATGAGTAAACTTTTTAAAGAAGCAGCAGGAGAGACAGAGCAACAGGGCGGAGAACCGCCGTGTTCGCAATGCCTGACGGGGGAGAAACTTGCTTGCTTGCTTATTGATTGATTGATTGATTGATTGATTGATTGATTGGTTGATTGATTGATTGATTGATTGATTGATTGATTGATTGATTGATTGATTGCTTGTGGATTGGATTGGATTGGATTGGATTGGATTGGATTGGATTGGATTGGATTGGATTGGATTGGATTTGTATCCCGCCCATCTGGTCTAGGTGACCACTCTGAGCGGCTAAGGAAACAGAGGTTGCCGGGGCAATGAAAGGGTTGCTTTTGGTATCTCTCTCGCTCTCTTTTTCTCTTTCTCTCCACTCTGCTCTCTTCTGTGTTTCCTTCTGTGGCCCTGCGCAAGGTTGTTGCTGCCCCCGCCAAGAGTTGCAGCCCCTCGAATTTCTGCACCCAAAAGGAAAGCCTCCACTGGTCTCCACCAGGCTACACCACTGATCAGGAAAAACGTCTTAACTGTTAGAGCAGTAGGACAATGGAACCAGTTACCTTGGGAAGTGGCGAGTGCTCCAATTCTGGAGGCATTCAAGAGAAAATTGGACAACCATCTGTCAGATCCACTTTGATTTCAATCCCTGCATTGAGCAAGGGGTTGGGCTGGATATGGACTTATATGTCCCTTCCAACTCAGTTATTCTATGATTTATACCACAAGGGAAGGTAACGTTTGAGGCTTTTTAAAGGTATGTAATATTAACGAGCTGCCTGCTTTGAAAATTACTATTTGACCTTTGACTCTTGCTTTTACCATTTTGACCTCTGGCTTTGGTTTATCTGTTTAATTCCATGGTTGCTTCATTTCTGCCCTTCCCTGTAGGTAGTAACCAAACCCATTTTAGACATATCTATGCCTGTTCAGTTCAATTAGATCAACCTGCCTGAAAACTGAGCCCACGGGTTTAACCAGTTTTTTCAAATATCATACTACAGGTGTGTTTGTCACTTCTCTATTGGCTACAGTGATGCTCATCACAGTCCTGGCTTTCTATATGTGACAGCTGAGACTAAAATCATATCAGAGTAGGAGAGTGAGTAACATTCCCCATGGAGCCAGGGAGGAGCAACTAAAAAGGGAAAGCAAAGTAACAAACAAACTTCACAAATCTTTCACAGAAAGACAAGAAATCTTTTGCTTCCCAGATAGCAGGAGTTGTTGACCGAAGAGTCCTTTTACTGGTTTTGTACCTCTTGTCTCAATATGGTGTTCTAATAATACGCACCCTGATGAAACAAGCTCAGATGCAGGATTGTGATGCATTCAAATCCAAATAGACTAGGGTTTTTCCCCCCTTTCAGTGGTGATGTTCTTTGGGCAATTCTCAGCTCCTATTATTACTAAATGTCAAAGAGAAACTGTTCTGAATCCACATTTCAGCAAGTCAAGAAACTTCTAACTATTACTATTACAGCAGTGTGACAATGGAACCAGTTACCTCCCGAGGTGGTATGCGTTCCAACATTGGAGGCATATAAAAAGAAATCCACTTCAATTTGGATTCCTGCATTGAGTAGGGAGTTGGATTCAATGGCTTTATAGACCCCTTCCAACTCAATTATTCTGAGATTCTATTATTTATTCATTAGTCTTCTGTAAGCCACCCTATGCATACTATTTGGGGGAAATCTGTGAATCTTACAATATCTGCAACTGTGGTTTGAATACACAGTATTTTGAAACATTTCCAAAGCATATCTAAGTAGTTCCAAAATTTATATAAAGCCTGATTTCTATAGTATAAAGTGAGGTAGACACCTCAACCAATATATGAAAGCGCAAAGAGCAGAAGGTGCAATACTAGAGGACAGAGCTGTCTCATCCTCCTGGCCTACCTTGTGCTTTTGGTTAACTTTTTTCTGTCAGGTGAAGTGAAACATACACTCTCCTTTCCAATATTGATTCAGCTACCAATCATCTTTTTACACTTTATCAGATGTAATGTATGCTAGGACAGCTTTGGAAAAATACATTTTTAAACCTCCTCATGTTTTGAATTAAGTTGTCCAGAAGTGTGGGGACCTTCTTTCAGCCCAGAGGTCAAATCCAACTTTCAAGTTTTGGGACACACCATATTCCATTAGTGGGTGCCCCCAAAAGCAAAAAGATGGGCCACGTACTGTATCATATTTTGGGTCTTACTGCTGGTAATGAAGTCTTAGGAGACACATGTCTGTGATAAGATGCAGAAAACACAACAAAAGCTGGAAATCACCAAACAGTGGTGTCTCAGGGGAAGGGTTGTGGCCATATGTGGAAGCCAAGACAGGCAGATTTGGACCAAAGTGGAATCTGTCTCAAAATTATGGGCTACATCCTGCTCATCTTTGAAGGGTTTTTACAACTGAACAAGATGATAACTGTCACCAGGAAGTATCACTGTGCTTGGTCTGAGTCTTAAAAAAGAAAGAAAGAACACAAAGCCATCTCTAGCTGAGTCCTGGAAGCTAGAGTCAACCAGTAATTCTCTTCCCAAACCTGGTAATAGGATGTCCTGAGACTAGCCTCCTTCCAGAGCTATCACTAGCCTGTAAGGATATCCAAAACACGATTGCAAACTATAATCATTCTGCGAAAGTAGTATGATCCAGTTGTTGAACACAGGACCTAAATTTAAGACAAAGCTATGTTCAACCACACACTGAGAAATATACAATATGGAGAATTTTTATTGTATTTAAGAATAGGAATAGAAAAATGAAATTACATAAGAAATCACAGAGTACAATTCCTTTTACATAAGTAAGCCAAGTTCATCAAGTAGCAAAATTCCAAACTGCAGTGAGTACAAGTACAAATAAAGAATAAGCAATGCCCAGGTAACAGAACACACAGAGAAGAAAATAATACAAAAGCTACCTAGCCTATATTCTTTACTTCAAAGACTGAAGAATAGACAGTGTGGTGTTATGCCCGCAGTGATGGACTAGGACTCAGGAGACCTGCATTTAAATCCCCACCCAGCCATAGAAAGTCACTGGGTGTGTGGAACTGATAGAACCAATTCATTTGATACAGGGTCACTTATACGTCAGTTCCAACTTGAGGGGACATAACAAAGTCTAGCCATTAGATGACATTTCATTTTCAAGTATGTTTGCCCTTGGCTGGGCAGATGATGGATTTTTGTTTGTCAGTGCCAAGGCACAAGCCCAATGGCCAACTGATCTTCACATTTGCAAGAGTTGGAGAGATTCAACACATTTTCATTGATTGAATTTCACTGATGAACCTTATCCCTCAGCCACTTCACTGCTTCATCAATGGATTTCCAATGTATGATGTGATTTGCCTCCCTGCCAGTCTTTGGAAGTGAGCAGTAAGGAAATGGAACCCACACTGTTCCAAAATGTAATATTCAAAGCTGAACATGGAAATGTTTCGCTCTCACTCTCACTCTTTTTCTTTTTTTGGGGGGGGGGACAGACTTCTGGGAGTTGTAATGCAAAAAGCAAGAGTAGCATTAAATGAAACCCATGTGAGTGTAATATCTTCAAAGTACTGTAAACAAGAAAGAGGGGCAGTATCCTGTTTAGCATGTGACAGCACAACAGTAAGTGCACAAGCACTTTGCAACATTTAGTAGGGTGTGCACAGCAGAATTGATAGATTGTGTAACTAATGGGACAAACAGTCATGCAACAGGCATCAACTACCTGCATAACTGTTGTGCAATTCCCGCTGCTCATACAGCCATTTTTGCAGAAAACTAACCATCCCTCCCTCCTTTTTTCTTTTGAGAAGCATCTCTTTGCTCTTGTTGGTACTGCATTAATGTGAAAAGCCGATGGGATTTTGGTGATCTACCAGAAAACTGTTCTATCTTGGAAAAGAAAAAAGACAAGAAAGACTGTGAGAAAGAAAGAATGAAGGAGTTCATACTTCTGAATTTCACCAGTGTTAATGAACTACTGACAGACTCTTTCAATTAGAATGACAAATTCAGAGGTATTAATTTCCACCTCTAATTTCTATCTTATTTTAAATTTATTTTGTTCCACCTGTTCTCCCATGAGCTGATGGTATTTCACATATTTCTATTCCTCCCCATTTTATCCTTAGGAAATTAGTCAGAAATGAAGAGTACATATAAATGAATACATTTATTGTTTAGTGTCGTAAGACTCCTTTGTTTTTCTTTCTTGATCCTTTTTCTTTTAAAAAGATATTTGTACCTACACCTCTCTCTCTCTCTCTCTCTCTCTCTCTCTCTCTCTCTCTCTCTCTCTATCTCTCTATCTATCTCTCTATCTATCTATATATACACACACACACACACCCCACTTTGAGATAATGCTTTAGATATGGCAAGCAGAAGGTTCCATAAGAAAAACAATAACAGCATTTCTACTATCTCTTTACAAACTGGATTTCTATCTATTCCTCTTTTTCAAAATAAAAGGTAGTGATCTCCCTGCCTCCTTTGTGACTCAAACCAATGGGCTTGTTTGCTTCCGTTGAAGCGCTTATGTACCAATTCAGGAAAGCTGAAGATTCAAAAGAACAAGTGCTCTCGCTTGTATGACAAAAGAATGTGAAGTTCTTGAACTCCTGGTTTTTATTGTAGAGATCCATGGCATTTTCTTCCTAAAACATCAGAGCTTGGAATGTTAGGTTTTAAATTGTGAACATGAAGTTGAACATTAAAAATGCAAAACATTTCTCAGTAAGAATATTAATTCACTACTTAAATCATTCATTCTAAAATAAACAATCAGCTCTTCAGGATTCCTCCACTACAGGCCGCTAATGGCAAATATACAATTGACTGCTTCAGAAGAGCTTTTTCTGTTGTTTTAAAATGGGGTTCTCCAATCTCGCATTTTTTTTCAAAGATCAGAAATATACATGTTAATGCAAGGAATCAGTAGGATTCAAAATATCTGAAAATTAAAATAGAATCTTGTCTACTTAGAAAGAAGACTTTCTTTTCTTAATAGCTAGGAGAGAGACATAGTCTTTTTATTTATATATGTGTGGAGAAATCATGCTTTCTACTACTACAAATAATCCAAAACTACAACTATAAAGACATAGTACTACTGCAAAAGGCAGGTTGGAGGTAGTTGTGTTAGATACCCCTATAATCAATTAACGAAGTAAAAATTACAAAGTGTCATGCTTAAGGAATCAGAACAGATTCTGGGCCACAGATGTAACTCACCGCTAGTTGTAGTTGTGGTTGGCCACCAGATTCAATGCAGGAGAGGACATGGTTTCCGTCTTTGAGGCCCAGAAAAATGGGATATGTCTGTTCATCTGGTTGCTTTGTAGCCTTGTTGGGGACCACAGCCATTAACGCTTTTGGAGGAAAACAAAGAAGAAACAAGCTGAGTTAAAGGAAGTAAGTCAGAGAGAAAGCTGGCAAGGTCAAAATAGAGGAACAATAAACATTAATCAAGACTGTCTTGGCTGAAGAGGGATTTTATTAGTATAAACTACAATTTGGAAGAGAGAAAGCATGGAATCAGCTAGAAATGAACAATAATGTCAACTGAGTTACCTAACAGAGTTTAATACAAATATGACCATCCCAACCTAAATGGGAGGGCAACACCATCCAGTTCAGAGATAATCCTCCCCATCCTTGCTGAGGGATGTCCCAGGAACAAGATCTCTGTCTTGTCCAGATTCAGTATGAACCAGTTTGCCCTGGTTCATTCGCAAATCAAAGGCAGGCATCGCTCAAGGGTCTGGACAGCATCCACTGCAGAGGTGGTGATGGAGAGATAGAGTTGTGTATCATCAGTGTATCACAGTCTCCCTTCATCCACATACAACATCTCCCAAAATTTGTATTTTATTGAAAAATTAATATGTTCACAGAAAATATTTGCATTTGGTGAAAATGTATATATAACAAATAAATAAACAAAACTACATGTGTAGAGTGCCAGATTTCAATTGAATTGGAAGTCTGGGCTCATTAACAGTTAACTTTCTGGTGTCTGCTTCCTACAGTTGAAAAGGCATAAAATGAAAAGGAAGAATTGGTTAATCAGGTAAGGAAGCAACAAAGCAGAACACATGAGAAAGTTCCAAACATATGTGTTTATTCTGAGCCCATCTACCATCCCAGTATTTCAAACCAGCCAGAACTCTTAGCCTTTGTAGTTGAATAATGTTTTTTTTTTTTAAATTAGAACTTGGAGAAGTTATTTTCTCTTGTTTTGGACCACAACTCATAACGATCAATTTAGTTAGGGGCCTGTTTACATTAAAGTAGAGATGGACATGAACTGCAGCTTCTGAAGTTCAACACAGTTCATTTACCAGCCCCATGGGTGTTCGCAGCTTGGCCCCCCAGCCTGCTCCCAAGGGGCCCTGCCGGAGAGGGTGAGGCACCAGATGGTGGAACCTCTGTAGGGCCAGTAAACAAACCACCAAACCACTGCTTCAGCCAAACCACTGAACCAGCAGAACACAGCCAAAGAGCCCGAAAAACCCACAACAATCATGCACATTTCTTCATTAAAGCAATCGTTTGGAATATGTGTTGTTGTAAATTTACATCAGTTCTGAGCCATGTGGCATCACATGGTGTTTGAATCACAGTTTGTGTTCCCTTGAAACAAACATTTAATCTGGTGTTTTTGAAGGGATAACCTCACCAGATGCATGCACTTTCTCTCCAACCCAAGGCTGGAATTCAGAGAGGGGGGCAGGTGTACACGCCCAGAGGAGGGAAGTACACCAAGCCGGTGCTAGAAAAGCCTTTGTGTGTGCAGTGGCACCTTGTGAGCACTGGCGCTCACAGGAGAGCCCAGTGGCAATGGGTAGCTGATACATGCTGCAAACACTCACACAAAAACCCGCATGTACACAGCCAGGCTAATGGAGACATGGGCTGGAGGGGACAAGAGAGAGGTGATGGTGGTGTTTTGCTTGCCTTTCAGCTGCTGGTTCTGGGGTTTGCGTGCCAGCTCAGTGAAGAGACACCTCCTTGAGCTGATCTTGCCTTAGCTGTCCCCACCCTACAGTATCCCAGACCTGGAAGAAGATTTGGTTGAGCAAGCAATCAAGTGAGGGTCAGGGGGCTCCTGCACCCCCACCCACCACCCACTCTTCACACAATAATAGCCGTGGCAAATGTCTGATTAATGCAGACAGGGGGTATCAATTTAAACAGTCAATTCCACACCCACATTAAAATAAACAAACCTCTGACAGAGAAGTAAAATAATTCCCTGCTGCTCCAAAACGCAGGATTCTCCATCAAATTCATCTGCTCTTGCACATGCATCAAGGGATGTGGTGGCGCTGCGGGCTAAATCGCAGAAGCCTGTGCTGCAGGGTCAGAAGACTAAGCAGTCGTAAGATTGAATCCACGCGACGGAGTGAGCTCCCGTCGCTTGTCCCAGCTCCCGCCAACCTAGCAGTTTGAAAGCATGCAAATGCAAGTAGATAAATAGGGACCACTTTGGTGGGAAGGTAACAGCGTTCCGTGTCTAAGTCGCTCTGGCCATGTGACCACGGAAGATTGTCTTCAGACAAACGCTGGCTCTATGGCTTGGAAAGGGGGAGGAGCACCACCCCCTAGAATCAAACACGACTGGACAAAAATTGTCAAGGGGAACCTTTACCTTTACCTTTACCTTTTTACACATGCATCATGCAGTCACCCAATTTTACAGCAATTCCAAAGAGCCTAATCCTGAAGTAAATAAGTCTGCTTTTGTTTTTGTTGCCATATTCTGGCCACTGTATACACAAAAATAGCATTGCAAATCTTGTTTCTTAGGAACAAGTTAACAGGATAGCATTGGTGCTCTTCTTGAAATATATTTAATTCGAGCTGAACTAGCATAGCACCAACATTTATGTAAGTTTGGTTGGTAGGTGGAGTGGGAAAGGTACAAAATGAGTGTATGAACTATTACCTGGTTCAAATTTTGTGGAGTTGGAATCCTGTGGAGCAGCTACCAGGGTCTGGTTCAGGAGGACAAAGAACTTCTGGTTGGTATCCCAAATTCTGAAAAGCCAAGGCTTTTCCAGACCTTCTTGCACTGGTATAACTTTGGAAATAAATAAAACATACATATATATCCATAAGAAAACAAAGCATAGGCTATTCTAAACATGATAAGCAATATGCTTAGCATTGAGCAAACTTTATCATATTTTCCTTCTGCGCTGCAGCTACAGTTGACTTTGCCTAAAACTGTGGACTGACCTGGCTGGCATCCTACTTCCTTCCCTTTTCCACAATATGTGTCTGTAGCATTCTCCATTTATTAGATCTATGGTTCATGTTATGTAATGGAAATGGTTCATGCCTGTTGTGAGCCGCCTAGAGTGGTCTATTGACTAGACAGGCGGGATATAAATAAAATAAAATAAAAAAATGTTGCTGAGAGGCGGAGCTGAGAAAGAGATGCTATAAAAGGCGGAGCCTGAGTAGATTGAGTCAGTAAGAGAAATGTAAGTCAGAGTCAGTCAGGCAGTAGAGAGTAAGAGTCAGAGAACATAATAGAGTGTGTAGTTTGGGAAATTCTGAGGTGTGATTAGCCACAGAAGATATCAATGAAACAATCTCTGTAATCAATAAAGCAAAGTTTTATTTCAAAGACTTTGAAGTGTGGACCTGAATCTTTCTGAGAGATCGCCTGGTGGCAGCAGTGAAAAGAAGAGAGTGTTTACCTTTGTGTGCTCTGAGGCTTGAAGCAAAAGGGGCACGAGGGTAGACGCAACAGTGTCATTGCTGGCATGTATCCAGAATGCACTCAGTTCTTCAGGTGTGGTGCATAACATAAGCAATGCTTCATTTCCAGTAAATAAAAGAGTGCAATCCACTCAGAAAGATAAACCATTTAATTTAGTTGATACAGTCATGGTCCTGCCCAACAAATGTGTAGGATCACAATGTAGATACCAAGAGCTCATGACAGCACTTGAAAGCTCACTGGAAATTAGAAGATTATCTTTAGGAAATCTTTAAGAAATATGTAAAAATAATTAAGGAATCAGCTTCTTTGCTCATTTATCACGGACTTTTGCCTGTTTGGGATGTAACTGAAAACTTCTGACAAGGAGCCTTTTGCAGGCCTTCAACCTGCAAATGGTTTATCTTCCTGAGTGGACTGCACTCTTTTATTTACTGGAAAGCAGCATAGTGTTAAAATTTGTCCCCCAAATCCCCCAGAACACAACTGTGCTAACAATGAAGCATGCTTTCAGGAAGGACAAAATAGCATGGAAAAAGTTGCTGTACTGAGATGAGAGGAATGTCATCTGGGTGGTGAGAAAAATACTGAGAATATTAGTGCTGAAGCATGTAACCTATAAGAAAAATAAATGGTCCATCTAGAAGATACCTTAGCTAGATTTACACCAAAAAAATAGTATCTGCCCTATAATTTTTTTACTTCCCTTTTTCTTTTCCTTTTCCTTTTCTTTTAGTTAATAGCAGAGCTGTTGGCTTGGAGCAACCCATTAATATATTTCAAGGGAAACAAAGCTTTTTGACACCTATGTTAAGTTGCTGTTATCACATCAGAGTGCACTATAATATATTAAACTGTGTAATATTGTTTTGTAATTGTTTCAGATATTTGTAATATTTTCTGTCCTTTCCATTCATCTCAGAGAGACTTCGAATGTTTATCAGCCATTATCATGGGGTATAAACTTTCAGACAGAAATAAGTGACAGTGGTGTGCTGTTTTGTTTTGTTGCACCTCAATTCTGTGGTCGGCATACCATAAATTAAAGGTATAAAGTACAAAATGTACAGAATAACAAAAACCAAAAAACAACCATATCATACTTCACCTGGTTTTTCAAAGTGATCAAATAAATCTGCCAGTTTTTGGGCTGCACTTGTCTTGGATTTCATCATTACGGCCACATCTATTTTCTCCATTCTTTCTTGAGAACAGGTTTTCAGAGTTTTCTTTGCCTCTTCTGCAGACACAGCTGTTGTAAGAGAGAGCCACCATTAGCTACACTTCTTTTCTAGCAGAAAACTAATAATGACAAATAGCTTAACAAATCAGAGGAAGCAGCATTGTACAGATGGACAGAACCAGAGGAAGAACGGAAGACGGGAGTTTCTTTTTTAAAGCCATGATCTCACTTATAGATGTACTATGGATCCTTAACCAGAGACAGTGCTTGAGAGGAGGGGAACTCTCAGATGGAAAGAGAATTGGAGGGGCACAAGAAGTGCATGGCTCACGTTAACACTTTACCTAGAGGGAAGTGGATGGACTGAATGGTCAGGCTGTCACAAGAACAACAAGGGAACCACAAAAGGGAAGTCAACATTTTCAAAGAGTATCTAATTGGTATTGCAGTGAAGGAAGGAACTGTCATCATAAAGCAGACTTTAAACTTCTACTGGATTCCTTGTCTTGCACAGTGAATGATCCCTGCTAGCCTTCTAGAATCATTTCCCAAGCAAATCAGCTCTTTGGCCATACTTTTTTCTTTTTCAGGATAAATCATCAGGTATATAGCTGTCGTTTGTGTTAAAGTTCCCATTTTGCTCAAAATCCCTGTGGGCGGAACTTCAGTAAGAAATTCACTAATAACTATAATTGTATGCTGTCAAGATAATTCCAAGGTATGGCATTTTCAGGGTTTTTCAGGGTTTTAATCCCTTTTTTTCTGGGGGTACTTCGGGACTGCACAGGTGGCTCCAGCCAACATAGGCTGGCTCTTCTCCACAAAGCAACAGTGAGGAATCAAACTGCTGACATCTGCTTCTGCTGCTAGGTACCCAACTCACTGAGCTATCCACCCAGTTGAAGTAATTCAATAAGACTGCTCTTTTTTCTCATTGTAAGAAAAGAAGCTGTGCCTAATGAATTATACCCTGCTCTGCAGACATAATAAGCTGTATGAATTGGCCGAGGCTGAATAGCTCAATGGTTTAGGTACCTGGCTACGGAGCCTGGGGTTGGAAGTTTGGTGATCCACTGTGCCTCCTAGTAGAAAAGCCAGTCTGTGTGGGCTTGGGCAGGCTGCACAGTCTCCAGATGTCCCAGAAGAAGGAAATGTCAAACTATTCTGGGTATTCTCTACCAGGAAAACCCTAAAAAGGATCACTGTAAGTCAGAATTGACTTGACACCACATGATTATTATTGATTAGGAAAAGATTTGGCCACTATCTTCCACATCCCTTATCACACTGAAAGCAGCTGTGCAAATCTGGTATTGTGTTTTTAATCCAAGGAAACATCCTCTGGACTAGAGATGTAAATTTTCCAAAAAAAAATCCATTTTTTCTGGAAAAATTGGGGGGGACCTCCTTTTTTCTTTTAAAAAGGAAATTTTCAGAAATGTTTAATTTACTCTGGACCGAAGACAGAGAACTTTTGATCCTATGGAACTTTTGTACTTCTGATCCCAGAAGCCTTAGACACAATGGGCAGTGGATAAAGGATTGTTGTAGACCAAAATGTCAGAGATGTCAACAATTTCCCAGACTTGCACTAGAGATATCGCTCTCCGTTATTTGTAAGATACGTAGCACCATCAAAGCCCTTCAAAGTGAGAATGGCAACAAGTACAGGATCCCCCCCACCCGGCATATGCTGAAAAACACAGATGTAGCGAAGACTATACTTGGCATTTCCTCTGTCTGCCTCTAGTGGTTATATCTGGTAAACACACCATGGAAATACGTATAACTACTGTAGTTTCTGTGGTTTTTTATTTAATATTTTCAGGCAGCAGATAAGTGACTCTGCAGATGCTGATCCAGCATATGGGGGGACCTACTGTATATGTCACACCACACATGAGCCTTCCTGAAGAAATGGTGCATTTTACACAGGACGAGTGTGGCACGCACTCCTCAGCAAAACAGAATGGCTGAAGGAAAACTAAGATCTGTTTTAGAGATGACAAGATACATGCTTGCAAGTCCAGAACTGCCCAGCTATGGGCAATGCAATCATGACTGTCCAAAGTTGGACTGATTGCCAAGCAAGATCACCTCAAAGAACCCATTTCATCTATAAAATGGCAGAATGCCAAATTTGGAAGCATAGACTGTGCCAACATACCAACTCAGAAAAGCTCAGAACAGATTATTTTGACTTACTGTGCCAACATACCAACTCAGAAAAGCTGGACTCTAGAACAGAACAGATTATTTTGACTGGCTATGCTCCTGGAAACAGTAGTGAACCTGAGAAAAGATAGTAAGTGTGAGACATTGCGGTCTACTTTGATGGGAAAAGCAAAGCTAACAACCAAGGGACTGTGTTAGATGGCTTGCAGGTCACTACACTGTATTTGGTACAATGTAATAGAAGTCCCAAGGCATTTTGAAGCTGACTTAGAGAAAGAACAAGAAGAAGATGACAAAGAGTGTCAGACCAGTGCACCAAGAGAAAGGGACAGAGATGGAGCTATCAGGACAGTGGGAAGAGGCACCTCAGCTACACAAAGCACTGAGATCATCGTCAGAAACAAACAAGGTTTCATTGACATCTCCATACTTTTGCAAGAGCCCACTGGGCACTTCTCTTACTAGATGGCATGTTGCTTCACCCTCCTGTGCCCTGCTTCACCTACAAGATAAACTTGCACTCAGTGTCTCTCTTGCCTGGTGGTAGATTGGTCAGGCTCCATGTCTCACTTCTGTGCAGTCTTCCATCTCTCCTTTTGTAGTTTCTCTCCATTTGGCAGCTTCAGCTGCTGACATCTATTAAACCTTCTCCAGTTCGCTGACTCAGAAGGCAGTGCTGACTTTGCAAAGTAGGGCAACCATGAAGCTGGAACATGAAAGGCATCATCAACCAGAAGCAACTGATCTAGTACAAAAATGAAAGAGAAGCCTATGCAGATCGACTGAAGCAAACTGCAAAGACCTGGAATGAAACATTGAACAAGGTGCTGCTCCAGCAGGGCTACAAAGAGATGAGAGCTTGTGCACTGAACCCAGAAAAGAACACCTAACATTTATTTTGGCCTGTGTTGATGGCTTTCAGCCCCAAGGAACCAGGAATACAATGAGATAGTACAACTTAGTGAAGAAGTGGAAATAAATGAATTAGGTGAAACAGTGTTTTATTTAGGCATTATGACTGAGAACGAGTGGTAAGGATGGAACTGGTAAAACCAGCCATTCTCAGTCAGAAGTGAAAAGTAATGTTGCCCACATTGTGACAGTACCTATGATGACAAGCTGAAAGGCAAAGCAGAGGGTGACTTGCTGCCAACCAACAATTAGAGAACAACTATAGGAAACGTTCTGTGTCTCATTACCACTCACTAGACCTAACAGCCATTGCTCTAGGAATACTGAGCGGAAAAGATAATTCACCAACAACTTTTAAAACAGTGGTTAGTTATTTGAAAAGAACTGTGAACTTCAAGGTAGGACTACCTGTCATCAATAGCCTAAAGAAGCAAACTGAGTCGAGGATAGCACAGATTGCCAATCTGGGACTTCCCATTTCTCTGTGGGGATGGATGGATGTATCCTGTGGACAAAATGTAAGCAATTTAGTCTTCCACAGAATCAGGATGCCTTGCTGTAGCAGAGTGTAACAGCTCTAAAGCTATTCAGGAATTTAGGAATAAATGAAGAGATGCCAATGCAAATGATGGAAGATAACCAGAAGTGCATCAGTGACAAGTGAGAACATTGTCGTGCCATTTGGTTTGCAACTTGACTTGAAAGTTATTATCCAAATAATCTACTGTCGTAATGCAGAGATGATTGCAGATAATCTGACCAAACCTTTAGTGAATCACAGAACAACGGAGCTGGGAGGGGCCCATAAAGCCATCAAGGCCAACCCTCTGCTTAATGCTTGAATCCAAATCAAAGTATCTTTGCCAGATGGCTGTCTTAACTTTCTCCTGAGTGTTGAAGCATTCACCACTTCCCCAAACAATTGGTAACAGTTCAAAAGTTTTTTGTGATATTCAACAAAAATCAGGTTTCCTATAAATAGAGCCCATTATTAGGTGTCCTGTGCTGGAATTGATAACAGGTCCTACCCCCTCTATATTTGACCTGCAAGTCAAGCCTTAGGGGATCTTGTACTCAGTCTTAAGAAGAGCTGCTGGAAAAAGTACAGTCCTGCATTCCTGTCCTTTAAATCTTAGCAGAGAGCACGCTCTGAACCTGCCACTAAAGTTAGAGATATTGTTTTCTCACACCTCTGAGGCCACTCTTTCCTTCCTGTTGCTTCATTCCATAGCTGTCTTCCCTGTGCTATACATTTCCTGTTCTCTGAAGATATACTTGTGGATTCATGTGGCTGTATCGTAAGAAAAAAGGCATGAACTGTAAGTGGTTATTATGAGTGGGCAGATCTCACCATGCTTTTCTCTGTGTTAAAAAGGAAATATTTTTATTTTATGTTTCAATTTTATTTGTCACTTCAGTATATGAGAAACACAGAAAGATCTTAATAAAGAAAGAAAGCTCCAGAAGTGTTTTCCTCTGACAGTCTTCTCTGCTGTGGTACTACAGAGAGGAGGAAGTTGCAAAGCTATGTTGTTCCTTCCTTGTTATCTAAGCTCCTCACTTGTCTCAACAAGTGCAGCTGGAGGATGGTAGTCATGAATCAACATACTAGTCCAGTGAATATAGCGAGAATTTTGCTGTAAAAAGTGCAGCAGCATCTCAGTTTGGATGCAGATCTCTGACTTTCATCCATCTGATAGCTCCTAGAAGAAGTTATGGATTTCCTCTGCAAAAGCTCTTTTCAGGGCTGTTCAGTATCTCTGTATTAGACCATGAAAAAAATTCCTCTTTTGGATAACAATTCTTAGAATTCCACAGCTAACATGGCCAGGGTTCCAAAAAGTAACTTTTCAAACCATTGCTCTGGATCCAAATAAGCTGTGAGAGAAAATGTTTTTATTCATTACGTATTGGTGAAAATGCTTTGGTTCATTTGATTCACTGTTCCCCTATGTTCCTTTTAGATCACCTCCAAGCTGTATTAATGTGGTCTTCTGTTCCGAGTAAACCTCCTGGCAGTATATAAAAAATTAGTTAATTTTATGTGCATTATATCTTGAAAGCAACAATTTCTCAATTTATCTACTTAGCTCTTTAATAAATATAATGAACTGGAAATATGAATCTCTTCATTTCCTCCCTCATGTGTTGGACAATTTGACAAACATACACTCCTGGGTTTGAATGAAGTTTTAAAAGCTCTGAAAAACAAGC